TCCAAGAGGCCGGGCTGTATGAGGCTGGGGAGGGAGAATCCCGTCGGCAGGTTGTTGTCCGGACAGAGGGCTTCGCGGTTTGGCTGGGCATTTACAATCAGATAACCGCTGTTTGGTTCTATTCCAAAGTGCCGAGGACCGCGGTCCTGCCAGTTGGTGATCTGAAGACTCTGTGGGGAGACCGGTTGGTGGCCCCCCAACATGGTCTCGATGTCATCGCGCAGTTTCGCTATAATGGTACCACGAGGGGACTCCTCGGGGAGGTAGTACACGAGATGGGGAAGAGTTCCGGTGCCATAGCCGGTCTTGCCTGGCCGAAGGTTTTCCTGTCCAGAACTGGGACAGTTAAGGAGTAGGAGAATGAACAGGCAGGACCAGCACAGTGCACCTCTGATTCCTGTGTAGATTTTCATTGGACAGGAGTTGGGAGAGATTCTGCGTTATTTACAACATATACGCAGCAAGATGGTGCGTGCTGTATGGTTCTAGTGGGTGGGAAAGGAAGAAAGAAAGAAATGGTTTTGAGTTTTTTGTTTAAAAAAGATGAACACAAAAAAAAGAGGACCCGCTCGCCTATTATGGTGACAGATGTGATAATTCTGGGATGCTGCAAACTGTTTGCTTAAGCAAATACCGACTTTTCGGCAGGAGGCAGATGGTGGTTCAGACCAAATGACCCAGCTGTCAAACATAGACAACCCATTGTAATAAGGTAAACCCAAAGACAAGAATTAGCACATATACAGTAGATTCACTATCTCATGAAATGGCACCCGGAATTCTGAAATGAGTTTTCGATTGGAACATATTAATTGCGGATGGTTGTAAGAGATGATCATACAGCCTAATTTCAACATATTTTGGACACTTCAGGATGCCTGCTTTTCAACGAACTTCTTTTTGACCGCCAGTACAAAGCATTTACCATAAAAAGTGATTACTTAAGTAGTATACCTATTTGTCATTAATTTCGACTTCCTTTATAGATTCAAATATATTTTTGGGAAACATGCGCGAAAAAATATTTCTTGTACTGTTTTGGTAGCAAATTACGCCTTCTTTAAATTTTATACTTAAAGGAACGGCATCTTTCGGTTT